CTTCTCTGCCAGAATGTTACCTTTGGAACACGGGTCAGGGAAGGACAGCAGTCGAACTGCCTTGATCTTATTTTTACCCGAGAGGAGGAAAATGTGTTAGACATGCAGGCCGACCGCCATTATGGTCAGCGACCACATCACATACCGCCCAAAATGGATAAACCCGGACTTGTAGGCCCCTTTCAGAAAAAGGAATCGTCTCTGGAGGCGTTTCAGACTAACTGACTCCGACGAGCACTTACAGGACTATAAGCGGCAACGAAACGTTTGTAAAAGTGAGGCCTCAAAGCTGCGAAAGTAGTTGGAACTAAACATCCTCCGAAATTCGTTGGAGCATGCGAAAATTCTATGTGGTTATATACGATGTACTAAAAGGACTCAGGAGCTTATCCCTGCCCTGAGGTCTGCAGATGGAATAGTGGAGATTGACGACCAGTTTAATGCGTCCCTCCTTTCCGTCTTCTTTCAGTCCGTCTTCACCCGAGAACCTAGTTCTATATTTGCCCATCCATCCATTCGCCAACCAACCTCTCCTCCCAGTACCCTTCCTCATCCTATCCCCTCCCTTCCCTCCTTAACCGAGGAACCACTCTTTTCATCTACCATTGTTAGGGCCGAGCTACTCCGGCTGAAACCTTTCAAATCACCTGGCCCAGATAGAATTCTCGCCCTAGCACTTCGTGAACTTTCTAATGAACTGTGCAAACCCTTATCCGCAATATTTCAAAAGTCCTTTGAAGACGGCGAGCTCCCGGAAGAATGGAAGTGCGCACTCATTACTCCGATCAATAAAGGAGGCATAAGACTTGACTGCGGAAATTATCGTCCTGTCAGTCTTACTTGCATCGCGTGTAAGATAATGGAACGTATTCTTAAAAGACACTTGATGTAATACCTGGAACAGAACAAAATATTGTGTGATGCCCAACACGGCTTTCGTCCAGGGCGCTCCTGCCTAACGAGTGTTCTTTACTCGCACGAGAAATGGACACGAGCTACCGATAAGGGTTTTCCAGTATTTGTCATATTTTTTGACTTCAAGAAGGCCTTTGACAGTGTCCCACACAGGCTTCTTTTACAAAAGATCTGGGATGTAGGGATTCAAGGGAGAATGTTTAAGTGGATCAGGAGTTTTCTGTCCTCCAGACTACAAAGAGTCGTCGTTAGTAATTCTGCCTCGGAATGGGTAAAGGTGGAAAGTGGTGTCCCACAGGGTTCTGTCTTAGGCCCAGTACTCTTCCTGATTTATGTTTATAACTGCATCAGCGAAGTGAATTGCGAGGCTCTCATGTTCGCGGATGACATAAAAATATGGAGTGAAGTCAAATGCGATGATGACGCAAAGAAGTTGCAGTCGAACATCGACAAACGGTGTGATTGGTCGAATAGATGGCTTTTGAAGTTTAACGTGTCCAAATGCGTGGTCTCGCACCTGAACACCGGCCGCAATGCCTCTCCCAAACACCAGTACTATATTGACGGGACGAAGTTAGAAACTGTGGAAAGACACAGAGATCTGGGTGTATGGACGACCACAAATCTATCGCCATCAGAACACTGTAGAAAGATGGTCCAGAAGGCAACTAGTACTCTACACTGGATCAGACGTGCATTTAAAATATTTCCTCCCGAACTTTTCGAAAGACTCTTTGGTGTCTTTGTAAGACCTCATCTAGAGTATGGAATGCCAGCAGCTTCACCATGGATGAGGAAGGATATCGACTTACTCGAACAGGTGCAAAGCAGAGCGACAAAGATGGTCGACGGTCTAAAGCATTTGTCTTATCAGGAGAGGCTAAATTTGCTTGGCCTATTCCCTCTCTCTTATAGACAAATAAACTGCAGTCTACTCTGGACGTTCCGGATTGTTCGCGGCCAGGGTTGCTTATTAAGAGCGGAGGACTTCTTTGAGTTCGCCCGTACAAACCAACTACGCGGCCATGCCTACAAAGTCAGAAATGAGCGAACGTGTTAAGACCGTCGAAAATTTTCACTCAACCAGCGGGTTTTCCGACCGTGGAACTCACTTACAAGCGAGATGGTGACGGCTGACACAATTTGTATGTTTAATAGTAAGCTTGCTTGCCTAGTTTTCCAAGGAAATCGGCTTGTACAGCAAGACTATGCACAGCCAGTTTTGTAAAATCTGTCATATACAATCCCTCCGCAATAATCTACAGTGACCTTATGCACCACCTTATGATTACGATTGAACTGTGACCAGATTACATTTTAGATGTCTGCAATTTTATTTTAGAGTACGAATCTGCGAAAGCAGTATACATAAATAGGGTCATCAAGGGCTCTGTCTCTAACCCTCCAAATATATACATATACAACATATATCGATATGCGTAAAGATTCGAGGTCCAGACATTGTATCGCGTTCATCATCTCCCGAAGAAGACGAGGAAGAATAGAGGGCGAATTCATGGACCATATTGTATTCGAACTGACGTTTCGGAAACTTCCTTTTTTCCATCATCAGAGTAGCGTAGTTGTTGCAATTGCCGGTCTTGAGTTGTTCAGTCTTGTCGCTTGCCTCGTATTATAGCCGTGCTGGACGCACGAACTTTGACCTGCCTGTTTGCCGCTGACTGGCTTAGACCTCCCCGGAGCTGACCGCTGACAGGCCTGCGTGACTTTTGTTCCGTTTGCGGTCGGCGTAATTGTGGTCAAGTCAACGTGCCGCTTGGCCCCTCCCACTTCAGCCGGTGGACTGATCGGTCGTTGCTGTTCAGGGGAGCAACATTCAGCTTCGCGGGCGCATCGGTGAGACAGTGTTCGGCTCTGGTCACATGACCTCTGGCCCCCAATTCCGCTCTTTTCCGTGAGCGTTGACTCTCGGCCCCGCGTGCTCGCTTGCCTTACTGGTCCTGTCCGGACTGATTCGAGCCTTGTACGCAGCGCCTGTTAGGCGGGATGAAGATCTATAGTTCCGTTGATTGTGCCAGCCGAGGACCAACTTTCGAGCACCAGTCTGGCCATCTTCTCATTGGCTCGACCAATTACCCTCGCTTTCTCAAAGGCAAAATCGTGCTTCAGTTCTCATATGTGAGCATAGACCAAAGACAGTCTGTCCTTGCGGTTGATTGCAGGTTGGTGTTCGTGCAATCTTGTACCGAGGCGTTTGCCCGTTTCACCAACATACCTTGCATTGCAATTTAGGCATGGTATGCTGTAGACCACCGCCGACTGTTCTGTTGTTGGTAGCGGGTCTTTGGGCTTCATGATTTGCTGTCTGATGGTGCATTCTGGGTTATGAGCCACGCCAATCCCAAAAGGTTTCAGGATTCTTGCCGTTGCCTCTGATACGTTCTTCACATAGGGTATTGAGAGCCAGAACTTAGGTTTTTCTCCACTCGACCGCTCAAAATGAGGCTTTTTGAGGCAATTGCGTATGGAGGACTTCGGGTAGCCGTTGGCTTTAAAAAGGCCCTGTAATTCATCTCCGCCTTCCTCCCACTGTCGTTGCTACAGTGTGTTTTAACGCGTTGTAAGAGATTTCTGACATAACTGCGTTTATGACCAACAGGGTGGTTGCTTCGGAAGTGGAGGATGCGCAGAGTATTTGTTGCCTTACGGCAAACCGTTGTCCTTATCTTCCCGTCTGTCAATCTCGTAACTTGTACGTCCAGGAAGGGCAACTGAGTGTTTACTTCCTCTTCCATAGTAAACTGAATGTCGGAGAAGATTAAGTTCAACAATGCCTTGAAAGCCTTCACCTCGCTCCTCTTGATTACAACGAATGTGTCGTCGACGTATCCGGCCCAGAACTTCGGGGGGTACGAGCTGAAGACCTGCTGCTCGAGTCTCTGCAAAACTGCTTCGGCAATTAGTCCAGACAGAGGCGAGCCCATCGGTGTCCCCTTCTTTTGCTCGTAGACTTGGCCGTTGAATGTAAAAGAGGTCTTAAGACACAGTTCTTGGAGCTTGATGATGCGTGCTCTTTTGAGCTGTTGGTCGGTCTCATCATACTTTTGCCGAAGAAAGCCATCGATAGTGTCGATAGCCAGCGCGGGTAGGATGGAGGTGAATAATGAGATCTCGTCAAATGACAACATCACCTCATCTGCCTCCACTTTTAGATGTTTAAGGCGCGTCAAGAACTCTTCAGCCGACTTCACTGTCCACTCCTAAACCTTGGTAAGGAAACAAAGTCGCTGGTACAGCCACTTTGACAGCCCAAAGGTCAGTCGTGAACGTAGACCCTCGTAATGGGCATTTACGAGGGTCTACGCTCACGAATGAATGCCGCCCGCCCTAATCACGCATCAACGACCGCGAATTGAGCCGCCCGCATTCCAACTGGTTAACCACCCGCCCTCCCTCTCCAGCACAGTGCACCGTAGTTGTTCCGCCTACTCTCCCTTTCCCCCCCCGTCACTCAGTGACCTACCATGACATCGGGGTCTCCTCCCCAACTCACACGTCAGTGGTCAGTCTGTCCTATCACACCAACTGGTCTTATGTGACAACCTAACTTTCCCCCTAGTATTCAACTGGTCTGACGACGGTTTGTTGTCACGGGCAAGAAAATTCACGAGTACATATCGACTTTTCCGAAGGAACCTCTTCGATGTTTCATTATATAAGCTCGGAATGCATACCACCTGTAATCAACATATATATTGCTGATTGAAGCGAAAATGCGTGTTCACGGATACAACTGAAAAGATATGGCAATGAAAGGAACCATGGATTTATTTGCCTGACGTTTCGAAAGCAAACAAGCTCCCATCATCGGAGGTGGGTTGCGTACTGCCCGTCACAGTATTTAAGGGTTTTCTTTCGTGCTGGCGTGTCACTGACTTCCAGCGCGCTGCATCACAAGGTCTGATGATTGTTGTCATGGCGGCATCTGTTCCTCCCCATCCTTTGTCGGGTATGGGGAGGGGAGCGGCGTCAGGGTTACCGCGGCCATTGCTCTTGTTTGCATTGTCCGTTGTCCGCCCTTCACGTATCTCGCCTTCCTACACCGTTCGCACCTGCCCGTAATCGATTGTCCTTCCACCCGACGGGGTGTAAGCACAGGGTATGCGATGTTCGAACTCCCCGGGGTTGCCATTTGCCTTTTCATTGGCAGGCGTTGTGGGAGGCGGTTGGGTTCGCTGTGACGACCACGCTGCCCGACTACGTCTAAAATGTTACATCAAACGACACCATGATCTCGTCTGTGTTAATTTGCAGTCCATTCAGTCTTTCCGTGTGGACGGCGGTTGTCACGCCGGTGTTGACGTCGAGCTGGGGGGTCCTGTCACTGTTGGGCGTTCTCACCGACTGCTCGCGTCTGTCTGCGTTCGCCGCCGGTTGTCCCCTGGTTTCGTTTCTTCCCGATGTCTGTCTATGTCCGTCCGTGTTCCCGCATGGTCTGGGTTTGGTTACTACCGTCTCTAGCCTGATGTCTCGTCGGTAGCCCTGCCTATTGAACTCCACCCGCAGGGCTTGGTAGGCAACCGCAAGTTACGCAGCGGTTGATCGAGGTAGTTGTGGTGTGCCAGGTTTCAAGCGTCTCCCTGACCATTTGGTCGCTCCCTTGGCCCAAGACTTCGGCGTCTTGTAAGACGAAAACGTGGCCAAAAGCTGCAAAATGTTCTGCCACCAACGAGAACAGATCCATTCTTTGTACCGCTCTTGCGTGCTCGTCAACACGGGTCTGCAATCTCTTCCCGGTTTCTCCAACGTAGTTTGCCTCACAGGAACTATACTGGATCCGGTAGACGACGTTGGCAGTTTTGCCTCGTAGCAGAGGCGTTTTTGGTCTCATGACCAGACGTCTAATTGTCGCTTCGGGTTTGTGGGCGATGCCGATACCCAATAGTTGCAAGATACGAGCAACTGCCTCGGAAACGCTCGCAATATATGGCAGCGCTCACCAGACTTTCGGCTGATTTGCCGTTGATTTTACGGTTGGTCTGGACAGTCTACTGCGTTCAATAAAGCTGCGGGGGTAGCCGTTGGAGGTAAACATCCGTCGTAGATAGCGGAGTTCGGCTACCTTGTCGGCCGGTTCGCTGCAGTGAGTGTCAACTCTCTTGTAAAGAGATCGAACACAGCTTCTTTTGTGACACAGCGGGTGATTGCTGTGGTAGGACAGGACTTGGCGAGTGTTAGTGGCCTTCTTGTAGACCGTCGTTTTCAGGCTCCCGTTGACTTTGCGATGGACCACAACGTCTAGAAACGCGATCTGATTGTTGTTCTCTGTCTCCATGGTGAATTGAATATCGGGAAGAACAGAGGTTCGTAGCGCGTGGAAATTCGAGACCATTTCCCGCTTGAGAACAACAAAAGTGTCGTCCAAATACCGCGCCCAAAATAATGGCGCGATCCCTAGTGCAGGACGACTGGCCACCAAACCGACCGATGCTGCCATGGCAAGGTTCTACGGGCTGCCCCAAATACAAAAAAGATGGTGCCCCACTCCGTCCCATCGTGTCTTTGCGCGGGACACCCACATTCGACCTGGCCAAATGGATTTTCCGACGCCTGAACTGCCTCACCTCTGGCTCCGATACGACGGTCCGCTAATCCGTCCATTTCCTGGAAAGACTGAATGGACTGCAAATTAACACAGACGAGATCATGGTGTCGTTTGATGTAACATTTTAGACGTAGTCGGGCAGCGTGGTCGTCACAGCGAACTCAACCGCCCCCCACAACGCCTGCCAATGAAAAGGCAAATGGCAACCCCGCAATAAATGTGCCAGGGGTTATAAGGGATTTGGGCGTATCATACTCCAAGAGTCTTAATCTCTCGGAGCACTGTGCCTTGATAGTCTCCAAAGCACGTAGAACGACCGGGTTTATCCTCCGAAATTTTAAAACTAGGGACATTAGAATGCGCCTTTTCAACATGTACGTTAGACCTGGTCTGGAATACTGTTCGTTTTCATTTAGCCTCATGCGTGCTACTGAGCGGAAGAAAATAGAATCCGTTCAACACTTTTTTACTAAGAAAATTTTAACCCCAGAACACCGACATTTGTCTTACCAAGAACGTTGCCGGCTTACAGGCCTCGATCCTTTATGGTTCCGTAGATTACAAAAGGGACTATTTTTGCTATTTAAACTCTTATATAATCACACATTTAACCCGCTCACCTCTTTAAGACATCATATCCACCCACGACGTAACAGTCACCGTGAGGTCTTCTTATTTCTGCCTCTGGCACGTACTGTTAAATATCGTCGGTTCTATTCTGTAAATGCAATTGCTATTTGGAATAAACTACCCATGAGTGTGAAAACTCTGCAAAATTTTACTTTATTTAAGAGAACTATTACTCGATTTTTGCATTCAGAAAAGCTCCCACAAATTTTGAGTGCTGAATCTACTGATCGACTGTACCGTAGCGATGGCGTTTGTGGTCTCTGAACACTATGGCCGGTCTCACCAGCTGTTCCTCAACGCCTCTACTTTGACTATCCCCAACTTCATGAAAGGAATTTGACGTCCAATAATCTCCGATACCGTGCAACCTCCCCCCTTCTTGACGGTCGATATTCTACCACCGCCGACAGTTTTTTTTCTCCTGAGCCCTCCAAACCACAAAAACCACCATCACCTATATTTTTATGCCTTAAGCTCAGAAGTTTTTTTTTTCACTGCTGGACGGATTTGTGTTTAATCGCTTCCCTTGACAATGCCTGTAAACTGGCATTTAATTAAATTTAATTAATAATAATTAGTTCGAACATCGCATACTCTGTGCTTACACCCCGTCGGGTGGAAGGACAATCGATTACGGGCAGGTGCGAACGGGGTAGGAAGGCGAGATACGTGAAGGGCGGACAACGGACAATGCAAACAAGAGCAATGGCCGCGGTAACCCTGACGCCGCTCCCCTCCCCATACCCGACAAAGGATGAGGAGGAACCGATGCCGCCATGACAACAATCATCAGACCTTGTGATGCAGCGCGCTGGAAGTCAGTGACACGCCAGCACGAAAGAAAACCCTTAAATACTGTGACGTGCAGTACGCGTTCCCCCAGCGTTCTCTAGCGGTTTCTGGTATATGAACCCCAGAGAATAATCAAGTGAATAATTTCAGAAATTACTCAGTGCAGGGCTTGGAGTTAAATCTCCGGGACATGACTTTTTAGGGTCATAACCGAAATTTCCATGAAGATTCGAGTGGAAAACAATCAACTTCTGTGGAATAACCACCCTATGCCCATTCTACCAACAAGTAGTACTACGAGTAGTATGAATTCCATAGGGTAAAGGTAGTATGCCGAAGTCCCGACATAGATACTTGCTAAAAGCCCAGACACGTGTTTCGCCGATATTCTGCCGCTGCGTGACACAGCTGCTAGGGGTTCGGCGCTCAGCGATCAGGTTACAGAACATGCTCGTTCTGTTGTACCTTGGGGCACATATTGAAATCGTCGCAGGCAGCCACTCAGAAACTAGGGCAACGGGCTCGTGGCCCGGTGGGTAGAGGCGTTGACTTCTAAACCAACAGGTCGCGAGTTCGAGGCCCGGGTGTTCCACACTTCGGGCTTGGGTATGGCTGGCTGACGACGGCTAATAAGCCAGAAATGGCCATTCCAGTCTCCCTTGTCTTTGTCGGTAATATCATTCTGCCTATATATATATATATATATATATATATATATATATATATATATATATATATATATATATATCAATCAGGAATGGGCGCACACCGATCTATTGGCTTCACAAAGCAAACAAGCTCCGTATGTGTGGCAAAGGTCACGAACAGGCAACCAATTACCAGGCCGAAGTCGGCCAAGTCATAATAGCAGCGAGGAGGGACGACAGAGAATGCGGGTAGATTGATACAGCACTGTTTCGGTCTTATTCTGCCAACGATAAGGACGTCTTTCTTCTCGCTAGCTTGGTACAGTTCGGATATGAGCATGAGATCTTGGTCAGAAGTATGGTTAGGTGAACGGTACACTACCGAAAGCGTCAATGATCGGACATTCTTAGTAGATATGGTAACGCTTAGCAGTTCCACATCCCGTACCGGTCTGTGTACATCAGCCATAGCGCTTAGCTTGCAAGTGACATAAATTATGACTCCTCCTCCTCGGCTTAGTCTATCTCTCCTGAATTGCTGATATCCTTTAAGTGATATTTCTGAATCTGCGATATCTTCAGTAAGCCACGTTTCTGTGAATGCCATAATGTCTGGCTTAATTTCATCAACAAGGTCCATTACTAACGCAAGTATTCGTGGGCTATTACAGCTCTCCTCCTCTCCAGCCGGCGGCCAGTAGCTTATATGTGAGAAAACTAATATTCCCGGCTACATGGTCATGGGGATCATGGTGATAGATTCGCATTAAGCAGACGTTGCTATTAGTGATTATTCGTTCACGTAGAATTTTTATGTCATCTCCTCTTTCACAAGGTACGTAATGCACCGTTAAGCAGAGTTGACGATTTAGTCTCATCAGTCATCATCAGAGGTATGTGTATACATATGAAAGCGCGAGCTGATAATTTTTTCCTGCTTTCGACGCAGCTGTTCGTAGGCTTTATTGTTTATTTTGTTTTTGATTTCCTTTGGGTCTTTTCGAGGTATTACCACCGCCCCTCCAGCATTTATCATTTTTTTCGGGAGAATAAATGATAACGATGTCGTGTAGCTTAACTATTGGTTCTATTACTCTGCCAGCTGTGTTCTCTTAACAGTTTCCGTCGATTTAAACTAAGGAAACAAGTGCTTAGCTTGAGCCTCGAGCCCGTGCAGATTTTTGCAGCAAAAGGCAACAAATCCCGCTCATCCCTGGTTTTCCATGAATATTACTTTTTTACTGGAAATATAGAATATATCGTACAAAATATTTCGATATACTGGATATCAGCGGGTCGTGCATTTCAGGTCTAACCTCATCGCTTAATCGGCAACAAAGATAGATAGCTTCCGATGTCTTGATTAGCCTCAGAGTCAATGAAGATAACTCGAGAAAACACATGAGTTTTTTTTGGCGAGTCTGAATAATTAAGACATCGGCTAACATAGACTGCGAAACTTTTATAGTTTGTTATACTGCATCCCATTTCTGTCGGCGCACTTTTGACTATCCCATCCCCGTGACGCGTGAGTTTGCTCCTAGCATGGCCTTTTTCTTCGCATACGCCAATAGTAGCCGTAGCCGCTGTTCTACCTTTTTAGGCCTTTGTTTCCAATGTCTTCCTCTAGAAGTTGGTTGAATATTGTTATGTACAATAAAAGTGCTTTCGGCCCCTGAACGTGTCAAAGCAGGGCCAACTGTGTTGTTACGTACATATATCCATTTGCGTACTACTGTCGGTCTTCTTGGGCTAAACTTTGACAATATGGTATGATCTGTATTGTCCTGTGAAGTTTAGAGTACTGCAAATGCCTGGGTAGGGCGTGTGTGTGTGGCTATACCTCTAACGTTACTGTAACGGAGGTTGCATGACATAGCACTTATCTTCCAGATCGAACTGAGGGTTTTGCTTCTAAAGTGCAGACCTCTTTCGGAGGCAGGATACCGCGTCGCCACTTGTTAGGATTGCAGTTGTTTAGATTATTCGCCTACGAATTTTAGTAGCCTTAGATCGTCGGTTGACTTAGCCTGTTTCACGTGGCTTGCTGCCTATAATGGCCTGTAACGACTCATATTTCATCCGAGAAAGCTCCTAATCACGTAATAGACTGAAGTTTTGGAGTTGCTCGTGGTCAGATTACTCCTGCAATTGCATGTTGCTTTTTCGTTTTTTTTGCTGCTGTAGGCACATTATGGGGGCTTACAAATTCATGCAAGAGCTTTACCGGCACAAACAGTCAGACGTCATGCGTTACTTGCTTCGCATGAGGTGCTGGGAATATCGGCAGACAAAAAAGATCGTGCGTGTTACAAGGCCGTCGCGACCTGACAAGGCAAGACGTCTGGGCTACAAGGCGAAACAGGGCTACGTCATTTACAGAACCCGCGTTCGTCGTGGTGGGCGTAAACGCCCGGTCCCCAAGGGTGCAACCTACGGCAAACCCACCAACGAGGGTGTTAATCAGCTAAAGCACCAGCGTTCTATTCAGGCCACTGCTGAGGTAATACCATTTTTGAGAAAAATTATTTTGTAGACCCGTGTCGGCAAAAAATGCGGATCTCTTCGTGTCTTATCTTCCTACTGGGTTGGCGAAGACAGCACGTACAAGTTCTATGAAGTTATCTGCGTAGATCCTGCCCACCCGGCTATCCGACGTGACCCTGCCATCCGCTGGATCTGCAAGGCCAACCAGAAGCATCGTGAGGATCGTGGTCTTACCTCCGCTACTCACAAGTCTCGCGGCCTGGGCAAGGGTCACAAATTCCACAAGACGATTGGTGGGTCGCGCCGTGCTGCTTGGAAGCGCAATAACCTTATCAAGATGCACAGGAAACGATAATTTACAATAAATTTGAGCCGACAGGGTTAAGTGCTTTTGCTTTTGCCTCCGTAGTCTGCGCATTTGGGCAGTCACGACCTCTCAAACGCGCGTCCTTGCTTCCGCTGTACCATATTCTATTACGGACCGCCATTTCCCTCGCGCACCCTGCCACTCCAACTTTGTTGATAATCCTTGCCAATTTACAAAACAGGGTTCCTTAGTGAAAGGTCTTTCAAGCCCGTCTCAACCGGTAAACTTCCTGTCAACACCGGTGATCGGTCAAACTACTCGTAAATATAGTGAGTCAAAGTAACTTATTTGCAGAGGAAAATAGTTGATCAAAATGCTTACTCGAGTCATGTTTTTCAGACTGCCAAGTAAACCGATAATCCTGCAAGAGGTCGGTCCCAGCCATCCAGGCACTCCTTTTAGTGAAGGTTATGCCGGGGAGTTTGCGGGTGTACTGGTTCGGCTTCATCATTCTTATGTTAATGAGATAAACGTCTCCTGTACCTTTGGAGATGCCAGTGCGCCCAAATGCTGCTCTTTGCGAACGGCTCACGACACGCATGGTAAACATTCTTGTTAGCAAGCCTACTATACGGTTCATGGATGGAAGTAGACGTTATTCTGTCATCCACTCGCATGGCAGTCTTTTTCGTTGCCACCGGTAGCCAAGCTGAAGTGCTTGACTGCACATACAGTGTGAGCTCGGGGACCTACTTTACGATGTAGGGTCAAGGTGGCTAGTTCGCAGCTCGCAATGACTCCTAACCTTTTCAACAAAACTGAACAGTTCGAGACGTCTGGTCCTTCGAGGCGCTCTGGTCCTTTTCGGTGACATAGGGTTCCTGTCGTCGAGTTAAGGGCTGTTTGGGCGTGCGTGTGGGAGGCCACTCAAGGGCGCCCCACCTAAGCGGTCCGGCTAGCCCCACTTATGCGAGGGCTGAGCCATGACGCTCTGCTGCTGTCGGCGCTTGAAGTGTGGGATTTATCGGCAGGTGGCGATCTGTTTTGGAACGCCTTAGGACTCGTGACCTGGGATTCGCTGTACGTCATACGGGGGCGACGGTGTTGTGTGCGCCCACGCGGGCCTGATCGCCGCCACGGCAGTTCCGAACACCGAGTTCACGGGGCACAGAGGCCTTCAGTCTGATGTGGATGCCCTCGCCGTCATACTAAACCCTCGACTGTTTCCCCGCCTGTTGTGTCATCGTGCACCCCGTAACGACATATTTGTCGATTGTCTAGGATGCTTCGCAGGGATGCCCTCCGATGGAATCTCAAAGTTAGGACATTTCCAAGGCCCCTGTGAACCTGCTAGATTTCTAGTTTATATTTCTGACCGGCCGCGTCTGGCGTCCTCAGCGCCATCCGTGTACATTTTGGTTGTCGGATGTCGTTTGATTCCCGGTCTAACTCGGTGTTATAATTACTTGAATGTTTTTACCCCGTAAGGCATTCATGCATATGGAGGACATGTTCTGATAATTCGATTGTCCTTCCACCCGACGGGGTGTAAGCACAGGGTATGCGATGTTCGACCTCCCCGGGTTGCCCTTTGCTTTTTCATTGGCAGGCGTTGTGGGAGGCGGTTGGATCCGCTGTGATGACCACGCTGCCCGACTACGTCTGAAAGGTATTTTTCCTGACACTACCGTGATCTGTGCCCAGATGCGCCGACTCCAGCGCAATCTTTTAGACTGCCAGAGGTTCATGTGCCCAATCCCGTTGTCGAAGCCTCCTGTGCCCCATTTACGTAAAGAATGCCTAGCACTTGTCTGCGGTCTATGATGTTGGACGGGTGTATGCTAGCGTTCCAGACACTGGTTCGCAAGTCCCTGTGTGGAGAATTCACAAGTGACCGATCAGGCCGACGCTTGTTGTGACAATATGGATGCGAAAGTTTTGGGGCTACAGAGTGGGCTACGGTGGTGATGCTGCTGGTGATGGCCTCACTGGTGGATGAGGAGTTAGTAGTCCTAGTGATGGGATAGTTGTCGGGCGTGTAAGGTGTGTCTGGCGTGTCGACATTGCGATGAATTCCTCCGCCTCATATATGCGTGTGACCAAAATAGGGCCATGCGATGGGTGGATGTGCGTGGGTAGTGCGGACAGTGGGCGCCGATGCGACGAGAGTATGCCGGGGTTCCTGGCATTGGTTCGATGATCACGGTGTGATGGATTCATAAATAACCAGCCAGGCCGATGCGAGGGGTGAATGTGCGATCGCAATGAGGGCAGGTTGGAGTCGAGTCTACGTCGCTGGTGGTGGGGGTGGAGAGGACGAAGGTTGTGACTGACGAGGCGTCGGGGGTGTTTCGGCCAGTGGCTGGGTGGGGCAGGTGGTAGTCGTCGTCGCGAAGGCTGAGGCAAGGACGACGAGGCTATCGGTGGTTGACGGCGGCGCTGTCAGTAGGGTTGTCCCGCCGGAACTGGGCACCGGTGCGGTTACTCCGAATGTGGCACCGTAGACCTTCATGTTTGATGCGAAGGAGTTATTCGTTTATTTGCGGTCCACGCACCCGTAGATCCCCTCGGCCCTGTGGTCCATCCGGGCATCCTGCATCGCCCGGAGTCGCTGCTGCACAAGGCAACGACACCTGAAGAAGGCCGCATCGTCGGCATCAGCGTAGCAGTCTACTCATCCCGCCGTCGCTACTGTCAAGCCAGTTCTGGTGTTAGTGCTGTGGGCGATCGAGGATATCCAGGGCAGTGAAGTGGGTGGCTTTTCGCAATTGGCGCCACGGTGGCGTTGCCGTCTGGATTCTGCAGTGCTTCCAGCCGCTGGACCCATTAATTTCTGAAATCAAAGCAGGCAAATTCAGCAGAACAGTATTTTAGAGTTGCAAAAACTCCCGTGGAAAGATTTAGATGACCAGTGTCGATAAATTCTCATCGGACCGGTAAACCGGAACGGGGTACAAACAGAACGTGGAAGCGATAGGAGAAATCGATCACAGTTCGTCCTTGTGTACAGGGCGGGTTCAAGGACGGGGAAAGGCAACAAGAAGTAGTGAGTGTCAGGCGGGCGGGGGGAAGGGTGGATGGCGCGGAGGGATGAGTGCAGTTAACTGACAACTGGCCACCGTGAGTATGGAGCTTGCACCAGACCCGTCTGTGTGCACAATACCAACTTTCGTAACCTGGTGGCAGCTCCTTCTACTGTTGCTAGCATGTACTGGACCAACGGTATAAGATAGTTCGGTGGGATCTCGCAGGTAACACAGAGGGCTGCGTTAGGGTTCAAACGATGACAAAAATAGACAATTTCCGCGAGAATGACATTCTTCCTTCTTTTAATTTCACCGGGAGGTCTTCCCATATTTTTCTGAATAGTCGCCTACTCGCGCGACTAATGCAACCAGCTCCATAGGTACAGTTAAAGGAGTAACTACACATTTAGGTGGTCTAAACTGGCAACTTTTTCTCACCCGCTACGTTTAAAACAGAGTTGAACGAGGACGATACTCGTGCCGCTGGAAAGTTTATTGAAACAACCT